CGGAGTAGCCGAACTAAACGACCCAATGAAATAATTGGACGATAGTTCCCGGTCGAAATAACCGAACGGAACGATTTAGCTGATACGAACGAAACAGACGAAACATACGAACGGTGCTCGAACGGTGAACGATCGCTTTCTAGACGCTAGACTACCGCTGACCGCACGCAAGCCGCACGCAGAACGAACTGAACCTAGGTGGATACTTGGGCGTAATTCTAACTGTACCATCTTCCTCCAAGGATGAATCTCACCAATTAAGAATAATTTCCAACTGAAAATTGACAGAATATACAAAAAAATTAGTTATTTCCATATATAAATTATAGTAAACTTTACCCCTCCCGAAGGGAAAACAGGGTGGACTGTATTACCTCGAGTCCTGAGTAGAAGATTTTTGAAATATTGGTTAATTTTCACTTTGGGGCCCTGCCCTGGCCCCTAGGGTTTGGGCAGTATGTTCTCCCTTATTTGGTCCCCAATATAACATAATATAATTTTCTCATTGGGCCCCGCTCCTCTGCCCCCAGAGGGTCCAAACCCAATGTTTTTACAAAATTGAGTCCCCTTGGTCCAAAGATGCGCCAGGCTTATTTAGGATACAAACCTCTCAAACCTTACGGGAAAAGAAAATTTTAAAGGTTTTACCTCTATTTCCCCTATTGGGACCCGCTCCTATACCCTAGGGAGGCCACCCCCACCGTTGATACAAAAGTTCCCCTGGCCAGAGGATGCTCCAGTCCAAATTGGGATAAAATCCCTAAATCCCTATGGTAGGAGGATTTCAAAGGTTTTACCTCTATTTCCCCGATTGGGCCCCTAGAATCTTCGAGAAGGTGCGCTAAAAATCATCTTTTCTGTTAACTTATTACGGCGTTAAAATCAGAGCCCAACAACCATAGTAGACCTAAACAAATCAGTGGACTTTTCACAGGCATATCATGTGTAAATGCGTATGTAATCAGATAAACATGACATTGCTGCAGAAATAAAATATGTTTAAATTTAAAGAGAGTTGATTGGTGTCTGAGAAACATATAGTAATTGGATTGGCTTATTATGTGATGCTTCAAATATAATACAAGGCAATATATTTTAAGAAAAACCATAGTCTCGCACCGGTAATGTTTTCTATATTCAACAAACAGTACACTTATGTAAAGAAGCATAGGTCACAATGTGGTAATAGTGACATACTTCTTGCCCTCTGTAATCTCAAAATGTCCTTGTAAATTAGGGGATTAAATAACGTTGATTACGTCGTCATTTTCCCTTACTATCTATGTAAACGTGACATCACCTTAGTATTATCTTGCCTTACAAGCGAATGTTGTTGATTAATCGGAACACGCTTATTCTTCCGGATAACCTTCGCCAGGATAAGTTTTACAATACATGACAAGTTGCTAGTTCTTGTGCCCGTTTTTTGTTTATGTATAATTGTCTTTTGAATTTTATCAAGGATGCTAAGCTTTAATACGTACAGAGTCTGACGGTGTAGTTGGTTTTCAGGACTGCTGCACTTGTACCACACATGCTTCCAGTGAATGGTTCACACATAAAGGAGGTTTCGGTGTCTGCTGCCGTTACATTGTAGGTAAGTGTACTTCTGCGTCTGTAATTACACCCGTCCTGGACCAAACCATTTTCATTTTGATTAATGTCCGCTGCAGTAGGATAACCCTATAAAGCAGAAATCTACACAATAATACCCAAGTCTTATCGACGTAATGCCAAACCTCATAATTATTTATATAATACCAAACATCTTCATCAGTTAGTTGAGTGTTTTCTACTGGTTATGGTAAAGTTAATAAGTATTGACAACGTTAGCACGGCTGTCCTGTACCACGTTTCAGTGATTCGCCAAATGTTAGAGCTAGGTTTGTTTTATATAGTTTAAAGTCATATTAATAGCTAAGGTAATTTAAGGACGCGCCTCCATGTGTGTTGTGTAAGCGTGCATGTGTGTATGTGACCCGTAGACAGGGTAATTTGGTGTACTTCAAGCTAATCAAACGTGACATAACAATATGTGGTAAGTGGACTGTGTACCGCACAAGGTTAACACATGACGTAAGCTGTACCGTAAATCCGGTATTGCTGTCTGCTTGTTTGTAACACCACGTGTGGTTCATCTTGTCACTGCCTACAGTACCGGAACAGCTGAACGTCAGTTTAGTCCCCACCGAGTAATACTGACCATTCACATTTGGAGTTGGCGTAACATACAGGGCGTTGGTGTAGGTCGGCAGAACTGTAACAGATATATTTGCTATGTTTAACATTGGGGGAAGGCGTAACAAACAGGAAGTTAGTGTAGGTCAGCTCAACTGTAACATATTAAAATTGACTGTATTCACATCAAAAGAAGGTGTCGACTTCCGGGTGTTGATGTAGCTCGGATGAACTGTAACATATTCAAATTGCATATTCACTTATTAGTTGACATTTTCCCGATATTTGTTTGGGGTTTACTATTCTTGCTACAGTAAAGGAATGTGAAGGCGAGTCCAATGTGAATAGTATGATACAACAGCGAGTAAACTTATCGCGCATGGGGACGTTATGTCCGACGTCACAAACAGTTGCTCAGACAATATCAAATTAAGATTTTGTTGCATATTTTGTCAAATTCAAATAGCCAATGCATCAACTTGTAAGAGTCTTGATAAAATATATATGGATTAATAATACTACTGAGTTGTAACAATCCCTATTTGTCTGTATATTACCGTTATCGTCAAGAACAGAACACAAAATGACCCACAATTACAATGACATGATCGTTTTCCTCACATTTAAAACATCTTTCAGTCGCAGAGAATCCATGGATGTGTGGTGAAAGGTGAATAAATCTTAAGCAAATCAGTCACATGTTCCAAAACTTTCCAAAAACAAAAAGGAATTTGAGAAACCCTTCTATAAAACATTAACTATCGACAAAAGCATGCACTCGCGATCATTTCTCAAGTTCCTGCTACATGGGAAAGATGAAATCAACTCTAACACATCAAGGACAGCAAGGTAAAAAACCTGGTTTCTCATCATTTTTCTTTCATACTAGAATATTTCTGTTATAAAGATGTGAGATACATACCTGTAGCAGTAACATATTTATCAGCATTAGCCGTGGCACCACCACCACCTGTCAGAGTTACTTCCATATTACACCTGTAAGCTCCCCCGTCCTCACATCGTATGTTGTTCGTGGAGATTGTTAACACAAGCCTAGCACCACCGACAGTGTCCACATTTCCTGTCGCCGACACACCCTGTCTGTTCTGGAAAGCTGTGTAAGCCCAGCTGATTACTGATGATGAACTGGCTTTATCATAGGCTACAGTCACTATTGATGTATAATCAGTACTACTAGTGTTTTTTTGAACACTAATAGTACTTACATCACTGATACAAGCTGAGCTTGGCTGACAAGTGATTCTGAGTTCTGATGTCGGCGTTACCAAGGTACTTGTTCCTGTTATGGTGATGGACTGACCAGAAACTGAAACACACCAAGACATAATCTGAGATACCAGTATAACTCGGCTGATATGTGGTTCTGAATTCCGAGATCAAGAATGTGATCAATGTTGTTCATTTCTGTTACACAAGACTAACTGGCCGAATTTGCATGACATATTTAGAGACAATGTAGAGCATTTAGTGTCATTCAAACGGCGATTGTTTTGTAGTGTTTTATGGCCCATCGACAACGGCGGAACAAACATGATACTAACTTGATTGTAATGATGGTATGTTAAGAATCTTGTTAATACTCCTATATTTTGTAGGCGTCCAAACAGCTCTAGTGTCAATATTCAGACTATATGGTACTACACTTTGTATAAATTCGCGTGTGATACATAATATTGAATTACTAATCTCGACCATGTGGTTCGTTTTAGGTACCATGCGTACCGTGGTTCACTTACGTACTATGGTATCTACGTGTGGACGTTGTTATTAATAATATGTCGGTTTACCAACATGCATTGTTATAGTCGTTCGTACAAGAATCCTACACACAGATAACAAAAAAACCAGACCAGACCTCGTATTAAACAACTCATCGTCTGTTGAAATAGGCAAATACATATATTTTCCTAGTATTTCAACGCCATTTTGACGCTATGATAATAAGATATTGTAGCAGGGACATACTTTTAGTGTCTTTGCTAAGAGTTGTTATTAAAATATGAAGTATGTGATATTGTATATTTTCCCCGATTGTCCAACGTATTGTGTAACGCGTCCGTAAGTTGCGTCGTCCGTTATAGTATCGTCCGTATTAAAGTAGTAACGTATACGTTTTGTGTGCGTTCGTTTCGTTTGTATCGTACTCTGTAATTGCTGTGTCCGAGTGGTCAGTCTTTGTGGTGTTACGTCATGTAGTTTCTGTTATTTCATTGGTTGTTTCCATTGGGCGATTTGGCGGGATGTTCTTTGTATAAGTTAGTGTCAGACATTTCTTGTAACTGGACGGATCAGTTGATATGTAAGTGTTTCACCTTTCTAATATTCTCTACCTGCACTTCTTTTTCTTATAGATAGATTAATATAGGATGTGGGTTTTGTTACATATTTTAAAGGATTTATTAGTAAAGAGCTAATGTAAGACGTTTCTCTATTTAAAGTAACCATTATTGCTATTTGATTAATTCATTTCAAAAACTATATAAGTCGTGGTTTTATGTGTCATTGTGAGAAAGTATAGAAGGGTTTTGATTTGTTTTTAGTATCATAACGTACTGTACCTATACCTGTAGCGTGTGTCATGCAAGGGTGCCGTCCCTAACTGGACTTTGAGACGCACTCAGGTATAACTACCCTGTATCTGAATTATTGTAGAATTAAATATATTTAAAATGTAAAGACAAAACAGTTGCTCAGACAATATCAAATTAAGATTTTGTTGCATATTTTGTCAAATTCAAAAAGCCAATGTATCAAATTGTAAGCGTCTTAATAAAATATATATGGATTAATAATACTACAGAGTTGTAACAATACCTTATTTGTCTGTATCTTACCGTTATCGTCAAGAACAGAACACAAAATGACCCACAATTACAATGACATGATCGTTTTCCCACTTCTTTTATCCTCACATTTAAAACATTTTTCAGTCGCAGAGAGTCCATGGATGTGTGGTGAAAGGTGAATAAATCTTAAGCAAATCAGTCACATGTTCCAAAACTTTCCAAAAACAAAAAGGAATTTGAGAAACCCTTCTATAAAACATTAACTATCGACAAAAGCATGCACTCGCGATCATTTCTCAAGTTCCTGCTACATGGGAAAGATGAAATCAACTCTGACACATCAAGGACAGCAAGGTAAAAAAACCTGGTTTCTCACCATTTTCCTTTCATACTAGAATATTTCTGTTATGAGATGTGAGATACATACCTGTAGCAGTAACATATTTTTCAGCAACCGCCACGGCACCACCACCACCTAATAGAAGAACTCCCATATTACACCTGTAAGCTCCCCCGTCCTCACATCGTGTGTTGTTCGTGGAGATTGTTAACACAAGCCGAGCACCACCGACAGTGTCCACATTTCCTGTCGCTGACACACCCTGTCTGTTCTGGTAAGCTGTGCTAGCCCATCTGATTACTGATGATGAACAGGCTTTATCATAGGTTACATACACTAATGTTGTATAATCAGTACTGCTAGTGTTTTTTTGAATACTAATAGTATTGACATCACGGATACCAGCTGTGCTTGGCTGACATGTGATTCTGAGTTCTGATGTCGGCGGTACCAAGGTACTTGTTCCTGTTATGGTGATGGACTGACCAGAAACTGAAACACACCAAGACATAATCTGAGATACCAGTATAACTCGGCTGATATGTGGTTCTGAGTTCCGAGATCAATAATGTGATCAATGTTGTTCATTTCTGTTACACAGACTAACTGGCCGAAACGGCGATTGTTTTGTAGTGTTTTATGGCCCATCTACAATGGCGGAACAAATATGATATTAACTTGCTTGTAATGATGGTAAGTTAAGAATCTTGTTAATACTCCTATTATTTGTAGGCGTCCAAACAGCTCTAGTGTCAAAATTCAGACTATATGGTACTATACTTTGTATACATTCGCGTGTAATACATAATGTTGAATTACTAATCTCGACCACGTGGTTCATTTTAGGTACCATGCGTACCGTGGTGCACTCACGTACTATGGTATCTACGTGTGGACAGTGTTGTTATTAATAATATGTCCGTTCACCAACATGCATTGTTATAGTCCTCTGTACAAGAATCCTACAAACAGATAACAAACAAAACAGACCAGACCTCGTATTAAACAACTCATCGTCTGTTGAAATCGGCAAATAGATATATTTTCCTAGTATTTCAACGCCATTTTTACGCTATGATAATAAGATATTGTAGCAGGGACATACTTTTAGTGAATTTGCTAAGAGTTGTTATTAAAATATTAAGTATGTAATATTGTATAATATTTTCTCCGATTGTCCAACGTATTGTGAAACGCGTCCGTAAGTTGCGTCGTCCGTTATAGTATCGTCCGTATTAACGTAGTAATGTATACGTTTTGTACGCGTTCGTTTCGTTTGTATCGTACTCTGTAATTGTAGTGTCCGATTGGCAGTCTTTGTGGTGTTACGTCATGTAGTTTCTGTTATTTCATTGGTTGTTTCCATTGGGCGATTTGGCGGGATGTTCTTTGTATAAGTTAGTGTCAGACATTTCTTGTAACTGGACGGATCAGTTGATATGTAAGTGTTTCACCTTTCTAATATTCTCTACCTGCACTTCTTTTTCTTATAGATAGATTAATATAGGATGTGGGTTTTGTTACATATTTTAAAGGATTTATTAGTAAAGAGCTAATGTAAGACGTTTCTCTATTTAAAGTAACCATTATTGCTATTTGATTAATTCCTTTCATAAACTCTATACTTATGAAATATATACTTGTGTATAAGTCGTGGTTTTATGTGTCATTGTGAGAAAGTATAGAAGGGTTTTGTTTTGTTTTTACTGTACCTATACCTGTAGCGTGTGTCATGCAAGGGTGCCTTCCGTCTTCGCACAAGTGTAATTTTGTAATTGTAATAGCGAAACGTATTGTTCCGATTGTGTATGTGAGTTGTAAATGTATGGTTAGCTTGACCACTTGCTTAGTATAGAGCAAGGCTACAAGACAAACTGTTTAATTAAATATAGCAGTGATAAAACGAGTTCATACATGTTTATATCTGGTACTTTCCTTTACATACGTAGATATCACAAGAAAGATCATGCACACGTCTCATTTCTTGTTTTAACATGTTAATGCTGGTCTGTATGCGTGTAATAGATATGTCAATATAATAATATACATTATAAATTTAATGTCAATAGAATAACAATTATCTCTCCATTAAGCTAGTATCGAAACAACGGGAAATGCGTGCGCAGCTTCATTATTCCTAACGTGTCTTCATTTAAGAAAGTTCAGAATGGACTCCGGTTCCTCTTATCAAAATTTTATCCTATTCCTTTACGAATGGTGAATCGTAATGCGATTCATTGGCAATTAGCAGGCTCTTTATTTATTTCACAACAATTATGAAACAAGTTTTTACAACTTATATTAATCACTCTTGTTGGCTAGGATGGTTGCGCGCGGGGGTCTTAATGTGGGAGGAAACCGAAGCACCCGGAGAAAACCCTCGTCATCGGACAGGTGACCCCGTACCTTTTCACGTCTCACCGGGAATCGAACCCCAGCTGTCGTGGTGAAAGGCATGAGCTATCCACTGCGCCACCCGACCACACAAGCAGGCTTTCATGGATCACCCAGACGAAAAAGATAAACTTGACAAAATTTATAGAATACTGCAGGATGACTCTGTGTAAGATTGCGTGAACAAACACCATGTTCACAATTTAAATAACCGTAGCCTGCCTGAGTACATTAGGGAAACGTCAAAGGAAATCACGGTAGACGAACCGACAGGGCAAGAAATTAAGAATGAAAGATTGGCTAGACTAATTAACGATATGATGTTGGAGGAACAGATAAAAGAAAACAAGAGATCCCAGAGTGATCTTGGCGCCCACCATTGTACCATCTTCATTAGTTCTTTGTCAGTTCGATCTTTTCTCTTCTTTTCTCTAATCTGTTTGATCCAGTCATGTTAACAGTAAATGCACCTTGAGGTAATTTTGGTCTAAACTTAATACTGTGTATGAAAGACAAACTTCAAAGTGAGTTTGTCAATTCAAATATTTACTAGTACAGTACTGAATTTAAGAGAAATAGAATCGAGCATTGCACTGTTTAGTTCTTCCTTTAGCCATTTTGTTTTTATGATCAGCCTTAAAATATAACATGCACAACGAGGGATTAAGGGGAACCTACATATCAAATTTGAGAAAGATCCCTCAAGTTGTACCTGAGAAATAGTACTAACAATCCTTCAATGTCAAAAATCGAAGATGGCTGTCGGGAGGACATTTTGTTTATCTGATCAGTTTCAAAAGTAAACATGAACAATAAAGGATAGTGGGGAACCTACATATAGAATTTGAGAAAGAACCCTCCAGAACTGCCTGGGAAATAGCACTAACAAACATTAACTGTCAAATCAATGATTTATATATCCGATCAGTCTCATTAGAAAACATGCATACATTCATGACAAGGGGAACCTACATCAAAATGTTAAGACAGATCTATCCAGTTTTTCCTGAGTAACAGCCATAACAAACCGTCACTGTCAAAATCCGAAATGGCTGCCTGTCTGCCATTTTGTTTATCTGATTAGTCTCAAAAGTTTATATACACAAGTAAGGACCCAGGGGAACCTACATGTACATATAAGATGTGAGAAAGATGCATCCACTACTTCCTGAGAAGTAGTTATAAACAAACCTTTAATGTCATAATCCAAGATGGTGGTCTTTCAGCCATTGTGTTTATTTGATCATACAGACCTAGGAAAGCCTACATAACAAATTTGAGAACGATCCCTCAGGTACTTCCTGATAAATAGCTACAACAAACCTTTAATGTCACAATCCAAGATAGTGACTTGTCGGCCATTTTCTATATCCGATCAGTCTCAAAATTAAATATGCACAACTGCAGACCAAGGGAAACCTACATATATAATTTGAGATGGATCTCTTCAGTTCTTCCTGAGAAATAGCGATAACAAAACTTCAATGTCAAAATCCAAGATGACTGCCTGTCGCCCATGTTGTTTATCAGATCAGTCTCAAAAGTTGCCCTGCACAATACAGGACCAATGGGAACCTACATATAAAATTTAAGAAAGATCCCTCCGGTATTTCTGAGAAATAGCGATAACAAGAATAGTTTAAGGACGGACCACGGACACCGGACGCAGGGTGATTTGAATAGCCCGCCATCAGATGATGGTGGGCAAAAAAGGGCAGACTATTTAAGGCCGGCTGGCTTGAAATTGTTGGCGGCACCGAGATGTAACAATTCTATTTATAGGAGTTTGAATTCTGGAAACGGGACGTAACTCTGTAGCAGACCAAAATATATTTAGGACACGTTTATTCACTTGCTTTGAAGTATGCGCACGTATTTGTACTATCCAGAATAAAGACGGAATTACAATCAAGTGCAACCTTCAGGTAAGTTTCAATAAATTTACTTCTGTATTAAATGTATTGTTTTCTGTTCCTCGTCATATCATAAACACTTTTAATTTGTTTATTTAACGAGTGTAAAAGCAGATAAATATTTCGTCCGTATCGATCTGTATGGATTATTCGGTTAATCCCAATAACACTGTAACAGAGGTCATTTCAATAACGTTGAAGTCCTCTGTTGGGGATCGAACCCTTGACATCTTGCTAACTAGTTTGCCGATCTAACGAGTTAGATAAAGAAAACCGGACCGAAACTGGAAATAATGCTTGTACATGTTACGGGTAATGTGTAAGTTATTGAACCATGAATGATAAATGTCACTCACCTGTGAATACTGTGACTGCTAGAATGACTATTGAGGTAAACATGACTGTTAAGATTGAAAATTTCAATTACTTTTATGGAAAAACCCGACAACCAGGAAGTTACCAAGCGATAAAATTGTAAAATAATACACCTCGTGAGGTAGCTTTTATGCAAGTGTGTACACTAGTTAAATGATGTAAGCTCACGTCAGATAACATGTTATATATATAGAACTTGTAGGTGGTATGGTGGTATGGTGGCTTTGACACTTGTAGGAAATTCCCTGGTACAAAAAGTGTTGGTAGTCACTGTAGATTGCTTTTCTCCGGAACACGCTCAACCAGACTGACGTGGTAACCCGCTCGGCCAGACTTGTTGTGGAAGTAATCGTTTATGGAGAAATTCTATTGGAGAGTATTTATTATACATTCTTGATATAATACATCAATGTAGTTCTCCGTATCTTTATTACAAACGAACAATAAAAAGTTTCATCAAGAAACATATATACATGTAGATTTTCCTGATGAAATAGGCATAAGCCCACCACGAGTATTACAAAGTCTGCTGCTATTGTCTTCGGTTCATTTGTTGTCTAGGTGTAAATAGCGTTGCTTTAGTAACACTCCTAACATTGTTCTCTATTCACATACTATATATCCAGTAATACATTACTGACGTCGTTTATTGTCACTATACGTATTTTTTAATTTTGAACTATAAACATGTGTTATTTATGAGGTCAAAGAACAGTGTATTAATGGATTATAGAAAGTACATGTGAAAAATATTTCTTCGATGTGATAGAATTTTTGTCTGTTGAAGTCAGTACATAGAGGATATTTAATGGTGTCTTCAGTAATACCAAATATATTTCACGAGTGTGGCTAATATTTTGATATTTTTCACGAGTGTGCAGCACGAGTGAAAATTTTTAAAATATTAGCCACATGAGTGAAATATATTTGGTATTATGAAGACACCATTACATTTTCTATTTATTGCATTTTTAAAGCATAAAAGATGAAAAATGTAATGCATAAAAAAAGGGCGTGAATCAGAAGCGTTATAATTAGCGCTACATTCTAATTACGTCACGCTTGACAACAAGGCTGGGCGCCATTTTGAATGGGATACTCAACACAATTCCGACGTTTTCTGCTATTTTCTGGTATGATTGCTTATAAAAATGTTATTAAGATATCAGTTTTATCAAGTCAATAGAATCCGATATTTCACTGGCAAAAATGTAATAAATGTAATTATGCAATTGATGAAAAACTGGTTTGGTCATATTTGCCATAAACAGAGACTATATCTCGTGTTAGTTTGATTTTGGTTTTATATTGTTTTAACAGCTAAGGTAATTTAAGGACATGCCTCCATATGTGTTGTGTAAGCGTGTTTGTGTGTATGTGTGTCGGTGACAGGATATGCCTCGTGTTAGGCTACCGTGTTTTCGCCAGTAGTATACAACCCTTCTCCTTTGACTAGTGTTTTTAATCTAGCAAGTGTTTTTTAGCGTGAACATTTCTTTCTTGGACCGCGAGACAGCGTAAACGTCATCGCTATGGACTATACTGTCATATTCAAAGTAGTGTTGTTAGCGTGAACAGCCTTTCCTTGAAGTACAGTGAAATATCTAGTATTTTGCTGGTGTGATCACCCACGCCTTTGGCCAGTGTTTATATCCTGTTGAGTCTATATTTGTGGGGCCAGTGTCAATATCTAGTCTATATTTGCTGTATCTCGTAATTGTCAGTGGTGCTGTACACATCCTCGCCTTAGGCCAGTGTCAATATCCTGTTAAGTCTATATTTGTGGTATCTCGTAATTGTCAGTGGTGCTGTACACATGCTCGTCTCTTTTAGAGAATCCGCTGTTTAAAACATAACACAATATAAAATTCAACAAAAAAACCTTTGTTATTTGGTGAAAATATGTATTTAAACTTTAAATTTACAAATGTATTGTTTAGATGGAAGATATACATCAATTACGGAATGTATATTTAAAAATATCATGCTAGTTATTACAAATGAATTTCAACAACGTTTAGCAAAAGTTTTAAAGCATTTGTTTTGCATTAATTAACTAGAACAGCAAATGCAATGTGTGACTATGAAAACATCTAAAATAAACAACTTGACAAGGCCGCAGTGTGTGTAATGTTTCCTAACGGAATAATACAATAAAAAGGTAACATATATTTACGTGTTAATCCCCTGGTACTCCACACGCTCACGTAAACGTTCTGTTGGTTAAAAAGATGTGTTTTGTTATTAAATTGAACTCCTTTTAAATGGCAACTATAGGGAAAACCAAAATAATAATAAAATGGCAAAGGATTAGAAGTGTGTACATTCACTATTTAAATACAATATATTAGCGTTAGTAATGGTTGACATATATTAATACACAATAATTTAAAACATGAATATTTACCAATCATTCGCAACTATTTACGTGTTCAGGGTAGTTGGTTCTTATACAGCAACCCTTACAAGTAGGAGTAACCAGTCGTACATGTTTCGTCAGGAAATTGATGTAGTGTTCTATGTTTGCTTGCATAACACACAGGGTTGACTTTTAATATCCGAGATTAAATAAGATTTGTTATTATGGGTATCCCATCCTAAAACTGATTTAAATTTTAGTTTACAAAACAAATATTGAAAGCCGTCGTTACTTTTGTATTTTCCTACTTGAAGGCAGAGATAAACAACAGCAAATATAAGGGCGATGGTGATAACGATAAATACAACAGCGACAACGATCCAAGGTATGACGTCACCTGCGTAGATTATAAAGCATTTGGTTCTTGTCGTAGGATGAATTAACAAAAGCATGGCTGAATTATAACATTTTGAGATTTGTATCTAAGGATGTGTGCTGTTCAAGAGCTAATTTCGGCGGAACGAATGGTGTTGTGATTTTTTAAGGTTATGTTACTCAGCGATTTAATAAAACAGCACATATGCATATTGAAACCACATATTTATAAGTCACATTATATTTGTTGTCGAATTTGAAGACGTTGATGCCTTTATCAGTAATTGTATTATTCACGCTATTTCATGAAACATTTTTCACTAAGTAGGAAGAAGCTGCCAAACACTGAACGTTCAACTTTTGTTTGTTTGTTTGTTTGATTTTGTTTAACGTCCTATTAACAGCTAAGGTCATTTAAGGACGGCCTCCCCTGTGTGCAAGATGCATGCGTGTAGTGTATGTGTGTGTATTTTGGGAGGCTGCGATATGTTCGTGTTTGTCTCCTTGTGATAGCGCGGAACTGATGCCGACTTTATAGTGCTACCTCACTGAAACATACTGCCGAAGACACCCAGCAGGACGCCCCACCCGGTCACATTATACTGACAACGGGCGAACCAGTCGTCCCACTCCTAATTTGCTGAGCGTTAAGCAGGAGTAGAAACTGCCATTTTTAAAGACTTTGGTATGTCTCGGCCAGGGGACAGAACCCAAAGCCTTCCTCACAGGGGCGAACGCTCAACAAATGGCCAAAAGTGAGGCATTGTCAAGGGAGACATTAGGAAAAAGAAAGTTATTTAGAAAGGAGAGAAGAGAAAAGGTCCCAAATTTAGTCGCCTCTTACGATCATGCAATTGGGGGCAGCAGGTACAATTCTTACGCCCTACCTGCAGGGCAGAAAATTCCGGATAACGAGATATAAATTTATGAAACATACACTGAAACACACGGACGTCTTCATACGGACGTTACAAAAACATGAGGCCCACTGCAAAAGCAGACTCTGCACACAATGTGGTTAAAACTAGAGTTGTCAACGGTTAGCCGGTTACTCGGTCGGAAGACAACGAACAGGTAACAAAAATAAATATCCGAATAGTCGGAAAGGACTAGGGGCGTTAAGGGTTATTTTCCAGCCTCATCGGGGATTTTGAATTTGTTTGTCACATGCGGAGGTTTTCATTTCTGCATGCTAACTATCCAAACACATCATATTTTTGTATAGCAACGCGATTTCGTTGCTATGGTTGGGCAACTAAGTATGCGCATTGAACAAATCTGCACCAAAAAAGAAAGCCCCAATAACCAATCTGATGTTTAAAAAAGAAATTGGTAAATAAATTCAAGTTAAAATTGTTACTTCTTATGAGGCCATAAATGATCAATAACGCCCCAATAAAGTTTATATATATCACAATACTCCTGTTCATGTAATATGATAGATGCCATGAGACTTCTTTCTTACAAGAGATACGTGTAGCTCTATCATGCAAACAGGTATTATAAATATTCATGTATGTTAACTTATTAGGCAATGCCCCATATGTTCATGTTCAAGTTGGTGATGCTTTTGTTCTATATTGTAAATATTGACAGAGATGCCGCCAACACCATAAACAAGAGGTCAAAGGGCCTTAGCGGTCACCTGAGTCATATTATAGGTACTGGAAACTCAATGTCATTGTTGAGATGTGATATTGAAATCAACCTGTAAACCAAGTAAAAAATAAAACTTGTCATATCACCAAAGGATAAGAACTATAAAAACTATTCTAAAATATTATTTTGGTAATGTTATTTAGCCAAGTTTTCCCTTTGGCCAACCCCTAGGATAGGTCAGATTTTTACTTTCTGATTCTATTTTATTTCAATTTCATTATAACTATTCTAATCATGTTTGAATAATTTCTTGCCGAAAATGGACAAGATATAGTCAGAAGTGTTATTTCCCTACATAAACCAGTTAACTTTACTCTCTCCTAAGGAGAGCAAATGACCCGGCGGATAAAGAAATTTAAAATTTAGATAATGCACCTAAGGACCATTTTTTCCATGAAGAGTATTTGTTTGTAAAACATCAGAGTCTGATGAAGAAGATTTTTATTTTTAAACCATTTCCTCCATTTCGACCCCACCACCCAGCCCCTGGGGATGAAGCAGTATCTTATTTTCTCATACAATCTATTTGCCATCTGGCACCATAATCATTCCAATCAAGATTGAACTGCTCAAAATGGACAAAATATACTCATAATCGTTATTTCCTTGTATAATCTTAAGTAAACGTTACCACTTACCCAAGCGAAAATGGATGGTCCGGGGGTAATGAAATTGAAAAATAGATAAACCCCCTGATGGAATTGTCATCCATGCACAGAAGTTGATTGTAGTACCTCTGAGTCTGAAGAAGTAGACTTTCTTGCCGAATAATAAAAAATCTGTTTAATTCTCAGATATTCAAAGTCAACACTGTGTGTTATGCAAGCAAATCATGATAACTACTTCAATTTACTGACGAAACATGTGACTTCTTACGCCTACTTGTATGTGTTGCTGTATAAGAAGCAACTACATTGAACACTTAAATATTTGCGAACGTTTGTAAATATTCATGATTTAAATTATTGTGTATTAATATATTATTGGTAATTTTCCCTTTGTGTCCCCGCCCTAGCCCTTGGGGATGGGACAGGAATCCCAATTTTACAATGCAATACCCTCCTCAATTAAAGATGATTCTGACTTAGTTTGAACAATTTCCTGCTGAAAATGAACAAAATATACCCAAAAGTGTTAGTTCTCTATATAAACTGTTGTCAGGTTTCCGAAGGAAAAACGAATGGCCCGGTTTTGTTTTACAATTTAAATAAAGCCCCTGATGATTTTTCCAACCATGCAAAGAAATCGACTGAAGTACCTCTGAGTTTTGAAAAGAAGATTTTTGAAATATTGGTTTATTTTCCCGTTGGAGCCCCACCCTGGCCCCTGTAGTTGAGGCATTAATTCCAATTTTACAATTTGAACCAACTTCTTTCAAGGATGCTTCTGACCAAGTAAGACTAATTTCCAATTGAAAATCGACTAAATATACCCAAATGTATCCCCTCCCGAAGGGAAAACAGATGGCCCGGGAGGACTGTAGTACTTCTGTGTCTTGAGAAGAAGAATTTGGTAATATTGGTAAATTTTCAATTTGGGGCCTTGCCCTTACCCCTGTGGTTGGGGCAGGAATCCCAATTTTACAATTGCGTAGCCTCATCTATCTAGGATGATTCTGACCAAGTTTGAAAAATAAATCCAATCACTGGTTCATGAGATGAAGTCAATAATGTAAAAAAAAAAACGCATAACGGACGACAACGGACGGAAACTAATCAGAATAGGTCAATTGAGCAAAGCTCAGTAAGCATGGACAAAAAATCTTATTACATATAATATAATTTCCCCATTGGGCCCCGCTCCTCTGCCCCCAGAGGGTCCAAACCGAATGCTTTTACAAAATTGAGTCCCTTGGTCCAATGATGCTCCAGACTAAATTACGATAATCCTCAATCCTTACGGCAGAAAAATAATTTGAAAGGTTTTACCTCTATTTTCCCTATTGGGCCCGCTTCTCTAACCCAGGGGGGGTGGGGGGGAGGCTAACCTCACCGTTAATACAAAAGTATCATTGGCCAGAGGATGCTCCAGACCATATTGGGATAAAATCCCTGAATCCCTACGGTAGACTTTTCATAGACCTATATGTGTAAATGGGTATATTTAAGCATTGAACTGTTACCAGATGCAGTATCCATTCCTATCAACTGTATACTGCATCTGGTAACAGTTCAATTATTATATTTACATTTATATGTATAGTTTGTTTTGTATAGTAACTGAAGCAAAACTACGTTTGAATTTCCCGCTTATCATATCAGTGACGTCAGTAAATTCAAATCCCAGAACAGTCGACATTTCCAGAAAAAATAATATAGTTCCTCGTGTCATTGAAAACCACACGCACATAAAATGGTTTGAACACAAACTTAACTTTATTATTTATTTCATAGGAGTGTTTATGTTAAAAAATTGTTAATAATTGCATATCTTCTGGTTAAAAATTTAAAATTAAAGCTGTTTTCCGCGCATTGATAGATAACATGTATTTTGAAGTGATGCGGCGCTGAGCGGACTTGATTGTTTCCTCGGAAACGCTTATGTTTCCTTCGACTGGAATATTACGTTATTTACAGAAGCATATATACTCGGAAACGTTTAATTAAAGTGGTCCTTTCAGTAGGTGATAACGATTCCAAGGACATTTCGTTTGAAATAGATTCCATGTCTAATCGGTCAGATTAGCATCGCTAGCAGACGACGTTCACATGGGCTCGGTTTCGTGATTTTGAGTAATGGATGACATCACTGAAAAACCACAACACTTAAAAAGGTATTTATACACATTTTAAAGCCTTGTCGATACCCTCGACTTTTACAAGGTTTTAGAAATGCTGAATTTTAGTGTTGTGGTTATTCACTGATGTTATGCATAACTAAAAATCTCGAAACCGATCCACTGTGTGATGACGTTGACAAACTTGGTAATTGCATATCTATAATGGCGCTTACAATAATTTTGTGGTACCTACACATCTTATAATAGATTTATATTGTCATATTTGTCAAGTTGCTTTAGTTTTTTTGCGATTACCTATATTGCTCAATGCTAACGAACCCATAATGTTTTCCGACTATAGGCCTATTGAAACCGAAAGTATTGGGCGGCCATATTTGTTTATCTTGTACCAGCTGTATTCCTACACTCGTCGTATCACTGTAAATTGTAGTATACAATCTCATATACTGCAATTTGGTTTACTAACGACATATAGGCAAATGCAACACAGAATGTAAATATAATCAGGTAAACATGACATTGCTGCGGAAATGATATATGTTTTAATTTAAAGAGAAATTATGTTGATTAGTGTTTGAGATACATATTGTAATTGGAGTTGGCATATTATGTGATGCTTCAAATAAAATGCTACATAAATAACACGGCAATACATTGTAACCGGTAATGTTTTCTATATTTAACAAACAGTGCACTTATGTCAGGAAGCATAGGTCACAATCAGGTAACAGTTACCTACTTCTTGCACTCTGTAATCCCAAAATGTCCATGTAAATCAAACATGGTTACTCCAGTTGAAAAAGTATAGAAAATATGCCCCGGACAAACATTTGCAAAGTAAAGGCCAAAGTACAGTGACATAATTCTTTAATAGTGACGTTCCTCTTGCTTGCACTTTCACTCCGCCATCCCAAATCTGGTACTCCAGGTGAAATAGTATCTCCCCCACGGAAACCGGTGGAGGATTGAATAACGTTGATGGCGTTGTCAATTTTCCCTTTCTACCTATGTTAACGTGACATCACATTAAAATTATCTTGCCTAACATGGCGGATGTTGTTGATAAATCGGAACACGCTTATTCTTTCAGAAAACCTGGTCTTATTCGCGTCTAATTATGCTGTTTCATTTGTTGTCCATATTTTGCCCAGTTTTAATAAGTTTATTTGGAGTTCTAATCAAGGATTTGTTGACAGTCCGCTTTTAACCTATCTTTTCTTGATGATATGTCCTTAGTTACTGACCTATCGGATAAACAGATTATCTGAAATACTTTTAAAATAACTATAGTTAAGTAACCTTCGCCAGGATAAGATTTTAACATACATAAGTTGCTAGATCTTGTGCCCGTTTTTCGTTTATGTATAATTGTCTTTTGGATTTTATCAAGGATGATAAGCTTTCATACTTACAGTTTCTGATGGTAAAGTTGGTTTTCAGGCCTGCTGCACTTGTACCACACATTTGTTTGTTTGTTTGTTTGAGTTTGTTTAACGTCCTATTAACAGCTAAGGTCATTTAAGGACGGCCTCCCCTGTGTGCAAGATGCATGCGTGTAATGTATGCGTGTGCTGCCAGTGAATGGTTCACACATAAATGTGGTTTCTGTGTCTGCTGCCGTTACATTGTAGGTAAGTGTACTTCTGCGTCTGTAGTTACACCCGTCCTGGACCAAACCGTTTTCATTCTGATTAATGTCCGCAGGGTAACCCTATAAAGCAGAAATCTACACAATAATACCAAAGCCTTATCGACATAATAGCAAAACTCATTCTTACTTAATACCAATCATCTTCATCAGCTAGTTGAGTGTTTCCTACCGGTAATGGTGAAGCTAATAAGAAAGTAAGCACGGTCGTCCTGTACCACGTTTTAGTGATTTGCCAATATTATAGTTAGGTTTGGTTAATATTGTTTAACGTCCTATTTATAGCTAAGGTCATTTAAGGACGTTCCTCCATGTGTGTCGTGTAAGCGTGCATATGTGTGTGTTTGCCGTAGACAGGGAATTTTGGTGTACATTTTAGAGCTAATCAAACGTGACATAACAATATGTGGTAAGTGGACTGTGTACCGCACAAGGGTAACACATGACGTAAACTGTACCGTAAATCCGGTAATGCTGCCTGCTTGTTTGTAACACCACGTGTGGATCCTCTTGTCACTGCCTTCAGTACCGGAACAGCTGAACGTCAGTGTGGTTCCCACAGAGTAATACTGACCATTCACATTGGGAGTTGGCGTAACATACAGGGCGTTAGTGTAGGTCGGCAGAACTGTAACATATAAATTGGTTATGTTTAACATTGGGAGATGGCGTAACATACAGGGCGTTGGTGTAGGTCGGCAGAACTGTAACAGATATATTGGCTATGTTTAACATTGGGAGATGGCGTAACATACAGGGCGTTGGTGTAGGTCGGCAGAACTGTAACACATTAAAATTGACTGTTTTCACATTAGGAGAAGGCATCACATTCCGGGCATTGATGTAGCTCGGCTGAACTGTAACATATTAAAATTGCATATTCACTTACCAGTTGGCATTTCTCCAATGTTTGTTCGGTGTTTGTTATTCTTTCTACAGTTAAGGAATATGAAGGCGAGTCCAATGTGAAATATTTACATTTGCATAGCATTGTCACTATATAAGCTTTTTGAAAGCTGTGTCGTTGATGGGACTTTAAATACCATGCACCACGTAGATATAAGAATAACACTGTTTTTGTATGGTATTTATGATCTAATAGATAAAAAATACCATACAAAAACAGTTCAATGCTTAATAGTATGATACAACAGCGAGTAAACTTACTGCACATTGGGACATTATGTCCGACGTCACGTCAAACAGTGGCTCAGACAATATCAAATTCAGATTTTGTTGTTTATTTTGACAAATTCAAAATGACAATTTATCTAATTGAAGGCGTCTTAATAAAATATATATGGGTTAAATACTGCCTAAAGGACTATTATTTACCGAGTTGTAACAATCCTTTATTTGTCTGTATATTACCGTTATCGTTTAGAACAGAACGCGATAAGACCCACAATTACAATGACATGATCGTTTTTCCACTACTTTTATCCTCACATTTAAAACATTCTTTCAGTCGCAGTCTATATACTGGATGTGTGGTGAAAGGTGAAGAAATCTTAAGGAAATCAGCCACATGCTCCAAAACTTTCCAAATACTATTTGATAAAAAGGAATTTTAAAAAGATACAGCACCACCACCACTTGTCATAATTACTCCCATATTACACCGGTAGGCTCCCCCGTCCTCACATCGTGTGTTGTTCGCGGAGATTGTTAACACCAGCTGAGCACCACCGACACTGTCCACATTTCCTGTCGCTGACACACCCTGTCTGTTCTGGAAAGCTGTGTTAGCCCAGCTGATTTCTGATGATGATCTGCCTTTATTATAATCTACATACACTATTGATGTATAGTCAGTACTACTAGTGTTTTTCTGAACACTAGTAGTAGTGACATCACTGATACCAGCTGAGCTTGGCTGACATGTAATTCTGAGCTCTGATGTCGGCGTTACTAAGGTACTTGTTCCGGTTATGGTGATGGACTGACCAGAAACTGAAACACACCAAAACATTATCTAAGAAACCAGTATAACTCGGCTGATATGTGGTTCTGAGTTCCGAGATCAAGAATGTGAATCAATGTTGTTCATTTCTGTTACACAGACTAACTGTCCGAATTTGCATGACATGTTTAGGGACAATGTAGAGCATTTAGGGCCATTCAAACGGCGACTGGCCCTTCGACAATGGATCATTTGAGCCATTCCAATGGCGGAACCAACATGATAGTTACTATAATATCGTGAAATGATGGTAAGTTAACAATCTTGTTAATACCCCTATGATTTGTAGGCGTCCAAACACCTCTAGTGTCAATATTCAGACTATATAGTACTACACTTTGTATAAATTCGCGTGTGATACAGAATGTTGAATTACTAAACTCGACCATGTGTCGTATGTGGTTCGTTTTAGGTACCATGCGTACCGTGGTTCACTAACCTACTATGGAATCTACGTGTTTACAGTGTTGTTATTAAAAATATGGCGGTTCACCAACATGCATTGTTATAGTCGTCTGTACAAGAATCCTACAAACAGATAACAAACGAAACAGACCAGACCTCGTATTAAACAACTCATCGTCTGTTTAAATCGGCAAATAGATATATTTTCCTAGTGTTTGAACGCCATTTTTACGCTATGATAATAAGATGTCATTTATCTGTCATTGACATCGTTTTGTCCGCTAATGTTGATTGTTTATTTGGGAGTTTTTGGGATGGAAATTGAACGTTAATTCGAGCTTTTTATGTGATTTTAAAGAGAAGTCACAGTCACCACTCGCCTAGTATAGAGCAGGGCTACAAGACAAACTGTTTAACTGAATACAGCAGTGATAAAACGAGTTCCTACATGTTTATTACGGGTACTTCCTATACATACGAAGAAAGACCATCCACAAGTATCATTCCTTGTTTTAAAATGTTAATACTGGTCCGTATTCGAGTAATAGATATGTCAATATAATAATATAACTTAAATGTCAATAGATTTACAATTATCTCTCCATTCAGCTAGTATCGAAACATCGGGAAATGCGTGCGCAGCTTCATTATTCCTAACGTGCCTTCATTTGATAAAATTTAGAATGGGCTCCGTAACCTCTTATTCCATCCTATTCTTATACGACTGATTATTTGTGATCAATTGTACGATTTTGTTCATTGTGTTTAACAGGAACTTAAAATTAATCGTAATTCTGACCAGATACGTTCCCATAGAGGCACACTATTCAAAAGACTTTGCCCAAC